CAGGGTGTCCCCTGCCTTCACCCTGAGTCAGCTGGGATAGACTCCAGCCCCCCATGACCCTAGTGAGGATTAAGTGGTGTATAGATAATGGATGGATAGACACTTAAATGCTCACCTGAACACATACCGTGCAGACAAACCTCCTAGGAAGTTTAGAGTTTTTAAATACCTGACCTGCACATGAAGATGGTTGACATGAGGAGATTATGGAAACGCCACATAGACAAGAAAATGTCTTTTCTTGTCCTTGTCTTTTCTTGTGCACGCTTCACAATCAGCTCTCTGTTTAGATAAATCTTTAGACACTGTTTTTGCTTGTGGTTTGTCATTATTCTGCCTAGTGGCTGTAGAAACATCAGGTCTGTTCACAGCTGACACCACAGACTGAAGTTAACATCTCCCCTTAACTATGGCCACATATTATCACATAACACTGAAGTCACATGACGACACTTGACATCAGATGGGGCTTAAAGCTCCAAAAAGCTGTACATTGGACTTGTTTTATTTCACAGAAAGAATTTTAAAATTGTGACAAGTTTGTCTTTGTTGAATGAGCTGGCGTACTGGATTCAGGACTCAGAAGAGAGCCACTCCCTGTGGACTGCTGGACATCTTCTTCAGCAAATGCAAAACGTGACCACAGTGCAGCTGACTGAGGAGCAGTCCAGGGGGCAACACATAAAGTCCCACTTAGATGTACCCTACCATACCTGTAACCCTTCTCTTTTCATTGCTAACCTGCTCAGAGCTCCGCTTAACTCAACTGTTCTGAGACAATCACAACCATTGTCAGGAAAAGCTTTCGTTTCCCGGTAATTTGCACAGAGAACAAGTATGCGAAAGGGCAAACGCCCTGACACATTCCTTCCACTTCTGAGAGAGACAGTAGGATGAAGGCTAAGTGAGGGATAAAAAGACAGAGGGAAAGCGGAGGAGGTGGTGGGAGAAATACAGCGGAGATAGAGCAATCCCTTTGGATGAGGGCCTGAAGAAGCAGTCTGGAATTTCGCATTGTCAGAAGACAGGAATGGGAAGCACGTGGCAGCAGTTTCTGTAAAAGACGAAAAAAGAAAACCTGGTCAGATCTGAACATACTGCTGGATGCTGTTCCAAATTTAGATACCCATCATTTGAGCCCATGTCACCCGCTATAATACCATGATGATACCACAACAAACAAGACAGGGCAGATGTAGACGGATGGCTCTGTATTCTTAAGTAAATTAGCCATACGTCTATGGTGACTTTCAACCATCGATAGGTTCTACAACGTGCTTTACAATGTGTTTCTCATTCAACTGTTGACACACTAACGGTGGCAGAGCTGCCATGTAAGAAGCTCGCCTGCCATCAGGAGCAACTTGGGGTTCAGAGGAAGCAAAGATCAAACTGCCAACCTTGTGACTAGTAAACCACTCGCTCTACCACCTGAGTCATGTCTGCCTCAAGTCCTACACTTTGATATGATTTTCTGATTAGAATTCTTTCCAAACTGACCATACAAAACATTCACATGCAGCCTGCTCTGTATGTGACATCAGTAAGAGGAGAGATATACAGTTTTAATATACGAGCTAGATCATATGCAGCTTACAAGTCACATGCAGGAGTTGGCCAGTCATCAGCTCTGTTTAAGAACATTGCTCGCTATGCAGTTTCTTCTGTTCTCTAACTTCGGGGCTGCAGATGGATTCTTACATCAATGTCAGAACTGTCTGGTTTCTCACCTGTCTTTACATTTTTTCCCTTGGATCTTCAAGGTGAGACTCAGTGCCCTCAAACCCACATCTGCTCTGCATTCCTGCATGTTCAGCACATTCTTGCTCTCTCATGAAGCAGACATATACATCAAAAATACATTGCTTTCATGTTGTGCTGCTTCCTCTGTGTCTATCCATTCAAAAATGAGAAAAAATGAGCCTACAGCACAACCCCGGTGTTGATGAATTGTGTGTTCTAACCTGATCTTGACAATTAAAATAATAACTGTAGGAGGGTTCTGTTGCTCCCTGTGAGTATTAAAGCTTTTACAACTTAACTTCATCAAGTTATACTGTATACATTCATGCAGAAACCGGCTGTGCCTAATCACATAATGTGGATTATGTAGCATGTAAGGATGTTTTCAGTGGGAGAAAGGGTGAGAAGAGGGGGGAGTGGAGACGGGGAGAGTCAGAGGGAGCTCCTGCTGTCATCTTCTTCTTCTGCTCCTTTTTTTTCAACCTCCTTTTTCTCCTCCAGTTTTTTTTTTGTTGTCTTCCTCCAATTCTTTATTCTTCTTTTTTTTTTTTTTTTTGTTGTCTTCCTCCAATTCTTTATTCTTCTTTTACATTTCGGTTTTCTTCGTCTGCAGTGTCTTTATTTACTTCAGCAAATTATGTTAATTTTCTTCACTCCTGCAGTTCTTTATTTAGGTCTTCCAGCATGTTCATATTTTTCTGCTTTTCTCACACTCACTCCGAATCGGATGGACGGATTAATCTGCCGCTGAAAATATTCCCCAACAAATGCTACGTCCTTCTGTTTAACAAAAACCACAGTGAACCACTGATTGAAGGAATTAGTGAGTTGATTTTACAGACATGTCCTACACGGTGACGTGTTGACAGACGCGCCAACAGGCTCTGTTGTGTGTGTACATGTATAAATATATACAGTTCCATTTTTTATTTTTTTTTTAAACTTTTCTCCTGGTGTAGCTTTAATGGTGGTCTGTACCAGGATTAGTCTAGGTAACTCAGACAACTAGTGACCTTCACTGTAAAATAAGAAACCAAAATATATCAGCATGTCATTGCTTAACTCTCTTATTGACACAGTTGACACAGAGGCATCTATTTTAGTGTAATTAATTTGCCAAAATAACCAAAACACACAATAAACAAAGTTAAAGATAAATAGCATTATGAGTATTTTCAATAGACATTGCGATAATACTGTTATATTTATTTTTAGCCACAATAAAAGTGAAACAGTGAAAATGTGATATTTTGACAGTCCAAGCTCAAAAGTCAGAATAAAGCTAAGATGGTACAGCAGCTACCTTGAACCCAGTGCAGTCCGACCGTATTTCTGCTCAGACACACCCAGACTGCTGGGGCATAAATCCAGACTGGGCTAAATGTGGTCTAAGTTGAGGCATCCAAAGGATATAGTGAGCTAAAAACCCTTAACTGATGGGACATTTATGAGTAAATTTAGTTATAGAGGGACTAGGAAATACAATATAGGTTAAAACAGAGTCAGTGTATATTAAAAACGTTTTATTCTGAGTGACCAAACTAAAATTTCTAAAATAAAATTGAAAACAGCTTTCTAACAGAATGCTGAGCAACAAATAAAAAGTCATGATAATGCATCTGTATGTTTTTTTTTTTTAATGCAGTGTTACCATCAGTGTGTGATTGATTCAGATTTTATCATTTAAAAAGTAGGAATCTTTTGAAAGAGGAAATGATTACATGACATGTTACACTCAGATTCTCTGAATACTAATTGGATGAGTCTGCTGTACATTCCTGGGTGAGCTGGTCAGAAAAGTCAGTCCATATAGGGCTCGTCTGAGTCGAGCAGGGCAGGAATGCAGGGAGCAGCCTTCCTGTACCTGGAAATATTCAGAGAGGATTTAGCCTTGGAATCTCAAACTTTCCCGAAGCCGCTCCTGTTTACGCCGTAAATCTGTTGGTGAGAGCTGAGATGCTCGACCGTTTGTCATCCCGGCACAAGAATGTGCAGGTTTTCCTTCCAGCTTATCTGTAGCAGGTAATTTCACAAACACACGCCCCTCTTCTGGCTGAGGATGTACGAGTCAGCTGCAGACTCCTGGGCCGTGATGACATGAGGTTAAAACCATCTTAGTGTGTGCACACCCAAGGCATGTGGAAAGTTGAATATTTCACTCATTTCATCGATGAGCCACTAATTCCAAAGTCCTGAGGTTCACTTTGCTTTCACCACATCTAGAAAACCTGGTCCTCGGTCCGGATCAGGTGCTGCAGCAATTTGCTGCGATTTAGTTAAGTGTTTGGGTGGGGGTTGGAATCAAATTCTTTTGGGGACAGAAACTGGGAAATTTATTCTTGAACTCGAGCCAACAGGCCTCAAATTATTTATGGACCTGTGTTTGTACCCAAGGACACAGAGCTTTTTCACAGCAGACAGTCTGACATGTTGTAGCAGGAACAGCACAGGTGAATTAATGATGGCTGCATTCTATCTGGTGAAGTCCTGTCAAGTCAAAATGTCTGCAGTGACAAAAGGTCTATCACTGTGCTATAAAAAGAACAGGCCACAGCTACACTGCTTCCACAAGTTGGCAGCACACTATTGTCTTGAAATATTGTAGTCTGTGGCGAGAGTTGTGCCAACAGGAACTAAGGGCTCGAACCCAAACCATGGAAACATCCCGATACTAAAAGCGAGTGCGGACAGAGGTGTCCACGCACTTTTGGTGATGTGTTGTAACTGTCCTGTGCCGCCACAGTGAACTGATTCAGTGCAGTCACTTCACACATGCTGGAAACACACACTTGTTGGTCAGCTGTCTCTGCTATTCTGAAGACTCATCTGACTCAAACTAAATAAAAGTACAGTGAAAATGTAAAGAATGGCAGAATCCAAACATTACTGTTTACTGGACCAAAGCTTCAATATATGGATCAACGTGGCTGACATACCAATATTGGACTACACTGCATCCCAACATCATTTACAAACATGGCATTCTACACACATTTCAAGATTATTTCACAAGTTTCAGAATATATTGAAGGAAACAGGTCCAATGTCATTATCAGTAAAGTATCCTGCTCAGCAGTATAAGCACGATCTCGTTTTATAGTAAACGGTTCTGTTATAGAACCATTATTAACACAGCAGTTAATTGTATATTTTGTAAAAATTGGAGTTATATAAATACGGCAAAAGAGAAATTAATCAATCAAAACTGATAAAAATCCTGAAACCAGGCACCCAGACAGAACACCACATTAGCTTCGACTGATTTATGAGACAGGAAAACACTGAAATAAAGACTAAATAAATTTCTTTTTTTTTCAGCTATTGTGCAATATATATGTATATATATTTTTATTTTAAATACAAATCACACAAACATAATTTAATGGCTTCAGAACCATTCACTTCTTCATTTGAGATTCAGTTCAAGGAAAGTTGTATACAGTCTTAAGTCCTGAATATCAGCACAGATCCTTTCATTTGCACGTTTAGATGGTTACTTTGGGTGCAGCACAAACTTTATGCAACAAGACTTCCAAAAACCATTTTAAAAATGACAAAAACTATAAATGCTCTTGTAAAGGTGTAGCGAGGGCGTTGATAAGTCCATCTGTGTCCAACGCAGGGCTGCACAGCAAAGAAGTGTCCTGCAGGAGGGACACCAACTCAACAGGACCGGGCGGCTGTGTGTTATTCTGTGCAGACCCTCTGTGTGATTCAGGCTCCCGTCGCTTCTTGTAGATCACCCGCTTTGTTTCGCTGTAACCGCTTAACCTGGAGGCGAGAGATCTCTTAGACTTTGGCTTGGTGAGCTTCTTCCTCTGCGGGTCGTGAACAATGCTGTGACGCTGGAGACTCTGCTTCATGGCGAAGGTCTTCCCACAGCCGGCGTGGATGCAGGCGAAGGGCCGCAGCTTCTCGTGGAAGGAGCTGATGTGGCTCTGCAGGTTGAAGGCTGTGGTGAATGACCTGTCGCAGCCATCTCTGGGGCACTTGAGGACTACTCTCGTCTCAGAGTGGATGCGTTGATGCTGCCGCAGAAACCAAGAGTCCCTGAACACCTTGGTGCAGCGATCACACCTCAGGAGGAGCCTGTGCTGCTCCTTCCTGTGCTTCAGGTACTCCGTCCAGGTCTTCCCTGTGAAGGCGCAGCCCTCGTCCTTGCAGGGATACCCTCTGTGCACCTTCTCGTGTCGCTTCAGCTTACTTGGGAAGGTGAATCGCATGTGGCAGCCTTCATAAGTGCACTGGTAGGATGGCAGCTGAGTGTGCTGCTCACACATGTGGGACTTCAGCTGCTTGTTCTTCTTGAACTCGAGCCCACAGCCCTCAAATTTACACACGTATTTTTTGTGCTCCTGAGAGTGGACGCGGCTGATGTGCCTGGTCCGGTTGGCGTTGGTGGTGAAGGCCTCTAAACAGCCCTCCTCACTGCACTGAAAGGGCTTCACCCCGCTGTGACTGAGTTCATGCCTGGCCAGGTGATAGGGGCTGCAGAAGGACTTACCGCAGCCGTCGTGCTCACATGAGTGCGGCTTCACTCCCGTGTGTTTACACAAGTGAGCGTCCAGCTTCCACTGCTTGTTATAGGAGGCCGAGCAGTCGGGAAACGAGCAGATGTAACGTTTGAAACACTCCGGTTTAAGTTCCATTTCTGCGGCATTAAAAGGACAAAAATATTATCAATCTCCTCTGAGCACGTTGTCAGTCCGCGCCGGTATTACCCACAATGCTCTTCTACCGACGCAACTTCCGGAGTCAGGAAAATTACCCATCAGCCCTCTGTTGTTTGGTTGCTGCTTGTGCAGCTACAGGAGCGTTTGTAAGTACAGTTCACACTTTATTTAAGTAAGTAAACATGACAGTCGAACATTTAAAATTACAGTGTAATTGCTTGTATTCGTAGCAGTTGTTTAGTTACGTATCCGTCATATTTACTCGAAGAGGACGCTAACGTTACTCGGTAAGCTAGCTGTTGCTAATGCTAGCTTACTTTTAGCTTGATCCCTGCAGTGATGAGAAAACATCACAACGCACAGCATCTAAGCGTTCAGTGCCTCAGTTTAGCTTGAAAACGGTGCAAGTATCACAGTTACACCTCATAAACTATCAGAGAAATGAGGGTACCGCTTATTAGCTGTTTAGCCAAATGCTTTAGTTGGACGTTACTGAAGTGAGCGTTCATTATAAAGCTCAGTTAAACTAACTGGCCTTTGAGCCAAAGTGCTTTCTAGTCGACAAAAACGATTAAAATCAAGATAACACGTTTAAATATTGAGGTTTAGACCATAGAGTGTTATTTGTTATGTGATTTTTGCCAAAATAAATGATATGTGAAGTACTATAACGCTATACAAATGATATAAAATACATGTTCCCTGATTCTAGTAAATACTAAGGCTAAGACCCTACAGTAGTGTTGATTATTAATTTGGTAGTAAACTGTTCTCAGCACCGTCCAAAACTAAAGCTTAGTGATAAAGTTAACAAAGTCTAATGAAATATTTCTGGAGTATTGGGCTTTACGTAGTTATCTAAACTTGCTGTATGTATAACACATATTAAATGCCTGTATTTGAATCATACATATCTAAAAAAGATAAATAAATACATGTAATTTTGGCAAAACATTATCCTGGAGATTGTGTTATTGTTATTTAAGAATTTCAAACCCATAGACAGCTATATATCAGTTCTAAATGTTTGTCTTTGGTCTTTTTTTAGTACTGTTGGTGTTGATATCAGCCCTGATTAAACAATATCAGTCAGTCCTCATCAGATTTAGTTTACAATCTCATAAATGTTATGTCAAAAGGCCTATGTATAATTTATGACTGAAATAATCTGCACAATTTTCAAATAGTCTTGAACACTAGATAGAAGTATTTGATGTCTTTGCTTTTGTTGGTAATACCTTTGTGTCCCCAGCCATCGATGTTGGCGTGTTTTAAAACGACCAAAGTGCTTTAACATCATAAGAAAAACAAAAACATGTTCCAAAAGGCTATTTGTGCATTTTTAGCATCAATTTATGGTTTAAATGTCTCTATTAGTGTAAAGGACAATACAAATTCAAACACCTTTCAGAATATTGTGGGGAAGTGACTTCTTTAAGTGTCCACGTGTCAACTTTTCACATCAATGATAAATCAATTATTTTTAATGAATTCTTAAACTCTTAGTCTTCATTAGCTCAAATGTGTTCCAGCAACATTTCTGCTCGTGTGCAAACCTTTCTGCACATTTAAAATACATCACACGTATCTTGATTTAATGATGATTTTCAGGAATCATTTACGTCTCAGTTATATCATTGAAGCTGACGGAAAACAAGAATACAACACGTTTTAGTCTTCCTCAGTTAAAACACTGGTTAGATCTAGAGAATTAAACTTTTTTTTTAAGCCTCTAAATAATTCTGGACAACAAAAGCAACAACTCTTAAAGAAAGTTTTAAAAAAACATTAACTAGTTGCTCACAACTTCTTTAAATGTTGTAGCTGTTTTAATACACTGTCAGTGACAAAATGTCTTTTTTTTTCTGATGAACAAAGGGTGAATCCATTACTGGTGTGGAGATCCAGTCGTCACTATGGTAAGCTTTGATGTGCATTTCACTCGGGTCTCTTATCTCAAAGATATATGTTTAAAAGTTTTTACACTTTATTAACAGAGTGTTCTGTACTGTTTTCTGACAGGGTGAAAGAAAAGGAACAAATAAATACTACCCTCCTGATTTTGATCCAGCCAAGGTGAGTACAACCATACAGATCTTTGTCAGTCAATTTAGTTCAACTTTTGTGTTTAGAAGCTGAACTACATCGATAACATTCTTTGTCTTTAGCATGGATCCCTCAATGGCTATCATAAAACTCACGCTCTGCGGGAGAGGGCCAGGAAACTGTCCCAGGGCATCCTCATTATCAGGTTAGTACACATGCACTTACAGAAATGATAAATTCATGCTGGCTGAAGATAAAAGATTTTGTTTGTTTGTTTTGATCAGTTATCAATTCCTAAAAGCATATATATGCAATCAAAAGACAGGTTTAGACACACACTACTGTGGAGCTGAACCTTTTTAAAATGCATTGTACTGCCACAAATAAGCAACAAAATATGATAAAATAAGTAAAGCAAGAACAGACTGTCAGCCTCACGCACTTGAGAACAAGTAAAATTACAATTAATGACAATATGTTGAAGTATTATAAGGTACAGAATGCTTCAGACTTAAAGATAAGGGGGGACGTAGTGGGACTTGAAATCTTTACAAAAACTGGTTTTGATGCTATTGGCACTTGACAACTTGATGTTTTAATTGGCTGTTTTTGTACATTAGGTTTGAAATGCCCTACAACATCTGGTGTGATGGCTGCAAAAATCACATTGGCATGGGTAAGCGTGAAGTGAGTCACAATATGTTTAGTGGGTCTTAGTGTCTTTTAATTTCCATGACACTAATGTTGTTTTTGTACAGGGGTCCGTTACAATGCTGAGAAGAAGAAAGTGGGGAACTACTACACCACGCCAATCTACAGGTAAACGATACGTGGCCAGGTTTACCGTTTAAACAATAAGCTTTTGCTGGCGTGTGAAGAAGAAATCATTGTAATAAACTGTGTTGTGCAGAATCCAGTATTCCACAATATAGTTCAGAAATTAATCATGAACATCTCTTCAAATTGAGATATTTAAAATCTTACAATGTATTTGTCTCTTCAACCAGGTTCAGGATGAAGTGCCACCTGTGTGTCAACTACATCGAGATGCAGACAGATCCAGCGACTTGTGACTATGTTATAGTGAGTGGGGCAAGCAGAAAGGAGGAGCGCTGGGACATGGCTGAAAATGAGCAGATCCTCACCACAGGTAAAGGATTTCGGTTTATTAATCAAAAAAACAAATGCTTTTCTCAGTTGACTTCCTTGTATGGCACTTATTGTTGATGAAAATCAGACAGAAAAAGGAGATGCTGCCAATAATAGAAAGTATTTTTTGTTATCATGCAGCACAAAGTACACAGCTCATATCAAACATAAAGACATAATTTAAGACATAATCCTGTGCCTCTTGGAACAGAGCGGGCAGAGAAGGAGAAGCTGGAGACGGATGCCATGTTCAAACTGGACCACGGTGGGAAAGACAAGGAGAAGCTTAAAAAGGCCCTGCCCTCTCTGTCAGAGATCCAGGACTACCAGTCTGGCTGGAAGGATGACTTCCAGCTCAACAGCGCCCTCCGTAGGAAGTTTAGAGTAAGTTTGTAGTTTTGACTGCTGCGGTAGTACTGCCCAATAGACCCATCACCGTTATCGTTATAGTGCCACTAATTTTGTGTAGAGGTTTCCTTCCAGACTCCAGTTTGCAATCGTTAAATTTAAAGTGATGCATAAAACTTGTCCTACATGTTTCTTTCATGTCACTACAAGCATGAGTGACACATGAAAACAGTTCAGAAGAAGACAAAAAATAAAAATTACTCTTGGCAGCACATGAAGTGTTCAGCCATGTCCACATTTCTTCTACAATCCTGATATCAGATGGTATTTTATGGTGTTCCTTAACTGATAACTGTGTTTGAATTGGTGGTGCAGACAGAGAAGAAAGTTCTGGCTGAACAGGAGGAGAAGGACAATGCAGTAAGGATGAGAACCAACCTATCCATCCCACTGCTGCCAGAGAAGGAGGAGGACAAGAAACTTGCAGCACTGCTAACCTACCAGACGCCTGACTGTAAGCAACAGTTAGCGGCTTCTCTTCTCACGCATACAGTCATTAAGAAATGATTCATTCACTGTCTCTGCCTGACAGGAAAGTTTAAAAAATTATTTACACTAAACCACCTTTAATCTACATGTATCTAAATAGAACCAAGTTTGAATTCTTCTAATAAAACTAACATAGAAATGTCTTCCTCATTGTTCCCCTCCTCTCTCAATTCAGCCTATGAGGACAAGCAGCACAGCAAGCGAAAACAGATCTCCTCTCGTTCATGGTTTAACTCCACATCAACACCACCAGGTGGTGCTGCAGGCAGTCTGCTCCATAAGCTGGGCCTGCAGGGGAAAGAAGCAGCAGTGGCCAAAGCCCTGGGCTCCTCGCACAGCCCCCTGATCCGAAAACGCACAGGAGGGACCGGAATTAAAGCTGAACAGTGTGCCACCATCACACGCAGAAAATCACACCCTGAGGGCGACGCATGTGAAGGACAGACTTCAAAGATCACAGAGCTGGACGTGGGCCCATCTGCACCATCAACACAAGTAGGTCAGAAGGTAGCAGAGACAAACGGCACTAGTTTCAAGGAGGCGCATGTCAAAACCACAGAGGAAACGGACAAAGGACTGGCAAACGCTGAGGACTCTGGAAAGGAGAAGGAACAGGGCGCATGTTCAGGAGGAGTCACATCTCTGGTGGCAGACTACAGCGACTCAGATTCAGAGCCTGGACAATGAGGCTGATCGTTGAGCTAAATGTGTTTATGAATGATTGTATGTATGAACAAACCACTGTAGGCAGAGCTCACACGCTGAGTTCTGGATGCTATCTTGTGTATGAGATTATGTGGCTAATCTGTATGAAGTGAACAACATGTCTTCCTGTTAACCTGAGAGACCATCTGTCATGCCTTTGTGTTGTCAACGGCTTTCTTTACCATCTTAATTTGCACTTTGGGGAACCATAACGCGTGCTACCTTTGTACAACTGTTAACCATTTGTGCGTCTGTGTTGAATGTCCAAACCTCGTCATCTATAATAATATACAATAATTTTGCATCAGAAATCAAAAAGTAGAGAAAGAAGTAAGAAAAAAAAAATCAAACGAGGATGGCTCTTTTAGTCATCGTCAACGTTCTGTTGTTAAAAAGTGATCTGTCTCATTCTGAAAAGTCAGCTTTTTAAAAAACCAACATGGCTCAGTTCAATTTTTTTTCTTAAAACAGAATTTATCCTTTTTTCTGATATGATTTCAGCATCCGACGATTTGTTGTTGCTGTTTCATAGTGAGAAACTAGCATCTCTTCTGTTCAGGAGTTAAATTAATGCCTCTGTAGTAAATAAAATAAAAAATAAAGCAATGAGGGGATAGTCAAATGCTTGTTTCAGCTTCCAACATGTACTGTACAATGTCTTACTTTTCATTTGTTGAGAAATGTGTTGTGTGCGCTCACCTGTGGGAGTTTTATTTGAAGATTGTAAATGTGTTTTAACAATGTGTCATATGTTGCTAGTGTGATATCAGAGTGTGCTTCAGTATGTTGCATCTGTTTCCAACCCAGCTTTATTAATTATACTTTATTTAATGACTTGGTTGTTTTCATTTTTGGTTTTTAGATGCCCACACATGTGACTTGCTGACAAAACTGCCAGGAGCCTTGTAAAATTAAATATAAAATACTGCTTATAGGACTGTTTGTTGAGTTTTTTCACACTATGTTAGCAAAAAGTATTGCAGCTTTTTATACACAGTGTCTCTGCTACACCACCAGGAACCTACGGACAGTCGGACAAAAGTACAAATCACCTGTGTGGATGTGCAGGGATTTGAATACTTTTTCAATTTAAATGGCTTTTTTTTTGGAGTGACAGCACCTCATATCTCCTATTTAGGATTTATATAACAGTTGAAGTGAATTATGTGGTTTTGTAATCACAGTAAATAATTATTTGTTCACAGCTGATGTAGCTACACCTTTACCCACTTAAACATAATGCCATTTTTTACTATAATACTCAGTGTTGTCCTCTCGTGTACAATAACATATGGTAATAGCTTCATTTTTTTATGTTTCCCTGTATGGAATGCTTCACTTTGGACATAATATGGTAGAGCTGATTAAGAGCAGGGTTTGGATGAAGTTAGATAAGACTGATAGAACCGCTTTTTAACTTTGCAAGAGGGACGGTTTGTTGACTGATGTGGGTTAAAATGACTTAAAACAAAATAGAAAACTTTATCGTTTGACATTCTGTCATTTGTGAAAAAGCTTCCACGTTTCAGTGTTGACCCTTCGGCCCTTTGTGCTTGTTTGTTTTTGTTTGTGCTCCCTGTTATTGATCAGGAGCTAAGCCCCTCCCCCTCCTGCTGACTCTGGGGGCTTTCATGAGGTAGCATTTCGAGGGTTTGGGGTCTGTTAAGAGGAGTCGATCGTCTCCCTGGTGGCCACAGTGCATCGAGACTCCAGGCAGTCAACATGGTTCGGTGGAAGCTATGCAACGTTTTGTTTCTCATGCTTCTCTGCAAGTCAAACGGACAGTTTGACAATACACGGAGGTAAGCAGTTAAGCTGTTTTACTTCTCCAGTTTCTTTAGACTATCAGGACAGTTTATATCCTTTTAAGCTTTGGTTACTGATCAAGATGTGTTCATTGCAGGAGGCCCTTCCAATTCAGGTATGTGCACACAGAGATCAAACAGTACAGACAGTTGTAACCTTTAGTCTGTGACTGTCTCACTTATTATTTCTGACTTTGATCCTCAGATTTGAGACATTTGACAAATACTTGGACCGCCACCAGTAAGTAACTGAAGCCTGACTTTTAAAAAAAAGAAAGAAATTTGAGTTTACGTGAGTTAAAACTCATCATCAATGGAAATATGTACATATTTACTCTCCTTTCCTGATCAGAAATGTCCTTGTCATGATGGGATAGTTTTCTCCAGCAAAACCCTGATTAATGATCCACTTCAAGCGTATTAGTTGTGGGATAAATGATAGGGTATACTGTGTTTGATATATTAAAAGAGGCATGAATTCATTCTTTCTTTTTTAGTAGCTATATGCTACATATGCAGCTCCACATGAGCACAGCTACCTTTTTCAACCTCCTTGCTTTATTTTTGAAATGTTGCCCTACTGAAGCAATATACTCATATAATCCTGTGTTATAATACCACATGTTTATTTATTTATTCTATCTCTGCCTTCCTTTGCAGCACTGTGTCATGAGTGAAATTAATGCTTGTCCTGTTTGTTTGCAGCTTAGGAAACCCAAAGGACAGAATTAGTTCTTCACCAAGGTACAGTTGCCAAACAAATGCCTAATCTTAGAGACATAGATAGGTCATTTTAACTCTCCATATTGTTGAACCTCTACTGTAAATTATGTATATATATACATATATTTAAATTCTCTTCTAACATCTCATTATTCATCAGGTCTTCATTTACTTTCCCTTAAAAGTTTGGTCAGAAAACGAAACAATTTCTCATTTATTTTTTATTTTTTTCATTTTTTCCATTTATTTCAGCCTGTTATATAAAAATGTGATTTCAATCCAAGGTCCTGACATAAAGGTCTAAACACTCATTTTAAAGCTTTCCCCTTCCTGCCAGAGGAAGGGCTGTCTTGCACTGTGCTCAGCATATACAGTACTAGTACTAGTATGCTCTCGTTTTTGCACGTTCAGTTAATGTGCTGCACTTGTGGCAGTATTCAGAACTTAACAGCAGCTACCAACTGTGCAGTGTCTCCGATTTATGTCACATTACATTGTAGGCTTCCTTGAAATGTAAAATGAAGTTATAGTTATTTCCTTTGAGGTATTTAGGACACAGTTGGATCTTCAAGAATAATAGTATTAGTAGTAGCAGTAATGGTGGCATGTCAGAAATTATATTAATAGTTGTAATGTAGACTGTGGTTGTGCTACTATATGTAGCTGTAATATGCCGTCGATGATGCAGCAGACCTCATTCTGTCCTAGCCTCATGTACCGCTGTTTCCCTGCAGGTTCACCCTCCTGGCTCCGGACCTGCTGAGGACAGACAGTGAGGAGAACATCTACCTACAGGCTGACGGTCTGTCCAACCCCGTCACTGTCTCCATCTCCATCCAGGACTTCAGTAAAAACGCCATGCTCCTCCGGGACACTGTCACGCTCAATCTAGAAAATAAGTTCAGCGCTCTCAAGACCATACAGGTGAGTAGCCAGCGTCATAGTTTGAAAGAGTTGTGCACTGACACAGATGTAATGTGTCTTTAATGACTTAACTTTACCTGAAGAAGTGTGTCATATTTGTATCCAGATGCTGACTTATAGTCATTGACGCAAACATTTACAACAGAAACATTGCAAAATATAAAAAATTTCAAGTTGAAAAATTTCTTTGAATAGGGATTTAATGTTGCATCCATGTCTTTGTAATATGGCTTCTTGAAAATAAAAAATCTGATTGTGTAACTGTCCGTGCTCAGTGTCAAATTACAGTTATAATTTTGGCCTCAATAATCTTGAACCTACCAAAAGGTACCACCATTACTGCTACTACTAATAAAAGGTACCAAAAGGTTTCTTATATTTATATGTACATTTTTTATTTTTATTTTTTCCTGTCTTGTATATGTGTACCTGTGTTGAATGCTGCTACCAACGATGTGAATTTCTCCACTGTGAGATAAATAAAGGCATATCTTATCTTATCTTATCTTATCTTAAAAGTAGGTTCAGGATTAACTGTCCTCATCCGGATTGATCCCAATCAAGACGCTGAACTTGTATCTCCATTTCATTTGACCTCAGCTTTCTTCGGATAACTTGAATCGTGAAGAAAAAAACAACAAGTTTGTGTATCTGAAAGTGACCTTTGAGGGTTTCCACACTGAGGAGAGAGTGCTGATGGTGTCCTTTCACTCTGGGTACATCTTCCTCCAGACAGACAAACCCATCTACAACCCTGGAGATACTGGTGAGAACAGAAGACACAGAGAAGATATTTATGCATGAATGACAATAAAAAAGATCAAAATAACCGCATGAGACCACAGGGAGCGTTTTGGCTAAAACAACAACTTTAATCCACGGTTGGATGTTAAAAGTCAGAATATTCAGTCTTTTTCGTGTTGTGGTCTTTTATTATGAACGTTTCTTTAGTCTTTCTAACTCACTCTTCTTCCACTAGTTCGATTTAGAGCCTTTGTGTCCACTCCGTCCTTTAAGGCCTTTGACAGCTCCATCACAATAGACATCCAGGTAAGCAAATGGTATTGATTGAAAATATAAAATCCTACTGCAAATTCTGAGATACAAACTGGGGATGCCAAAGTCATGTCAGAATAATAACAAGACTGAATGTTAGATCAGCTGGAGGTGGATCTACAAAATGTCTCTGTAGGAATGATGCGTCATGGGCTGTGATAATACTTCTGTGATATCCTGTTTATTTGTCATGTATATTAACTGACAGGTCTCTCTGTGTAGAATCCAGATGGTGTGGTGGTGAAACACATCTCCAGAACCAAAGCTCCCGATGGCTTCTTTTCCCAAACATTTCCTCTTTCTGAAATTGTCAAGTAAGATCCTTTTGCTTGGCTCATCTTTCATCATCCTTTAGACCTACACATGAAAGTTTAGCCACAGTCTTTGGGTTGTTGTAGATTCTTTACTGTTGGCAGCATAAAATGTTGAGTGTGACACCATACTAGATTTTCTCTCCTCGATTTTTGAGGCCAAAATAATTCACAGTAACGATATGTTATGTATAGGAAAAAAGGAGAACAAATCAAAACGAAAATGGTTTCACTCAAATTCATTTTTAATTTTGTTTGAAGTGCATCTTGTCTCTTTTTTTTAGAAATGAATGCCACTCAAAATATGAGTGTAGGAAGAGAGAGGGTCTGAAACCATAACTGTACAACAGTGTGCAAAAAGACACTAGAAACTAGAAGAACTGAAAAACAAAAATCCCAACATCCGCTATTGATACAGTTTCGGCTGAAGCCCCCTAATCTGTCTGAATGTCAACCCACATAGCCACTGGTGTTGGACTGTGTACAATATGTTTACAATATGTGCATTATTACCATGATATCAATAATCCATCCATCCATTATCTATACACTGCTTAATCCTCACTGGGGTCATGGGGGGCTGGAGTCTATCCCAGCTGACTCAGGGTGAAGACAGGGGACACCTGGACAGGTCACCAGTCTATCACAGGGCTACAGTTAGAGACAGACAACCAAGCACACTCACATTCACACCTACGGACAATTTACCATGATTTTTAACTTTAATACAATTATCATACAGCTTTTACATTGTACAACTGCTCTCAAACAAATACATTTATATCTTCCACATCAAGCATTTTCTGAGACCGCTAAACGTTGTATTTAAATGGTGTTATTGCAGTTGCTGTAGCGGAATCATACTTTTCTTCCTGTGCGAACTTAAACATCAGAGTTTATGGATGCTGTGTTTTCAATTTCATCATCTCTAATGTGAGGAGCTGCAGCATCCGAGACTGAAAACTGATTTGGAAATTATTTCTTTTTTTAGGCATTTATTAAGGGATCATTGTTAATTTGCCAGTGATAATTTGATCCATATTTTAATTACACACATAGAAAAGACTAAAAGTCAGGGTTTTTTTTTGTTTTTTCTGTACTTTTTGTAATATAACTTCATGTCCTACAGTGAAGGAACATGGATCCTCACTGCAAAGTTCGACCACTGGCAGCAGAACACGTTCACCTCCCAGTTTGAGGTGAAGAAATACGGTGGGTGAAGTTAGATTTTTCTTGCACATCAAAAGCATTTCTCTGTATGTTTTTATCAAAGTCACAGTTTGGAATAGCTTTCTAATTATATCTGTAATACAGCCACGCTTTATTTTATGACCTGTTTTTTCAGTGCTGCCTGCCTTCAATGTTACTTTGACACCCAGAAAGTCCTTCCTCAGCCTGGATGACACCGAACTGGTGGTCGACATCTCAGCCAGGTTGGTTCAATACAAACAAACACTTACTTTATGCCAATTTTATAAACCGTTTTACCAAATTCATTCACCTAAAGTAAGCCTAAACACCACCTGTTATTGAATTGTTACTTCACTTGACAGTTACCTTTAAAATCCTGCTAATCTGGTCCTACGTTTGGCCTAAACCCTGTTCTAACTAAATCTCTAAAACTGTATCTAAGCCTAGAAACAGCCTCTGATAACAGTCAGGTGCTGCAAAATGTGCCTTTAAGGACATCTGAGCCTCATTCCATTAAATTGCAATTGCAAGAAAGGAATTGTAAAAAAACAAATGAAGACCACTGACTGCCACCTAACCATTTTGGTGTCTGTGTTCCAGGTACCTTTATGGGGAGCCGGTCCAGGGAAAGGCCTACGTTGTGTTTGGAGTAAAGATCAACAAAGAGATGAATAGATTACCGACAGTGAAGCAGGTGTCAGATGTAAGTTTACCCTGAAATGAAGCAACTGTGAGCGATCTCTGATTTGCGGTTGTTTATATTGGCTGATACATTTCTGATCTATGTGCGACTATTGTGCTTCACTTTGCTATTGTCTTTGGTTAACATTTTTCACTTTTAGATTTTTTTGTACTTACTGTCACTTTACTGTGCTACTTATTTCTCTAAACCAATCACAACCATCCTAGGCAGCACTAAGCCCAGAATGCAGCAATGGTGCCCCCACAAAACAGTAATAGGGGGAAGTTTTGGTGCATGCAGGGAAATGAGCACTGTTACTAATACAGCTAATTTGAAAGTTTTAATTATCAGTTTGCTACTCAAAAGTTATTTCCTGTAGAAGGGGGGATTCTAAAAAACGGTAACATGGATCGTGGAAGGGGAGGAGAAAACTGTGCTGAAGAAATATCAGGCTTATATCTGAAATCTACATTCAGTGAGTCAGACTAACATGCAATTTGAAAACCAAAACAACAACTTAAAACAGCCTAAAAGCTGCATTCATCTGCAGAGTTGGGTATGAACTCTCCATGAGTTCTACACTAATTCATTCGGTTCAAGATTTAGAAAATCTATTATTGAACAAGCAAGTTGAGGGGAAGGACAGCTTGAAAAAGTTTGGCATAAACGAAAAAAGAAATCCTACCTTAAGGTTGATATTTTAGCATTTTCTTTTTTGTCTATTTTCATTGATCTAACTAGCAGTTTTATGGAGTACAAACAGTACAAGTAAATGCTTTAAGACAAGCAGTCTGAAACAACAGAAAACCATTTAAACAAGTTTAACATCCATCCATCCATTATCTATACACCGCTTAATCCTCATTAGGGTCGCGGGGGGGCTGGAGTCTATCCCAGCTGACTTAGGGTGAAGGCAGGGGACACCCTGGACAGGTCGCCAGTCTATCGCAGGGCTACACTTAGAGACAGACAACCAAGCACACTCACATTCACACCTACGGACAATTTAGAATCACCAATTAACCTCTGGACTGTGTGGGAGGAAGCCGGAGAACCCGGAGAGAACCCACGCTGCACGGGGAGAACATGCAAACTCCACGCAGAAAGATTCCGGTGCCCCCACCGGGACGCGAACCGGCAACCTTCTTGCTGCGAGGCAACAGTGCTACCAACTGCGCCACCCTGCAGCCCCAAGTTTAACATACTTATTAGAAAAGTTCTGAGTCTATGTATTGCTTTTGGTTTCTCTGACTGAAATACCAGAGCCAACCTAAACATAGATGGATGCTGAATATAAAACTTTGACAAACAGTTTTCCCTGTTTTACATTGTTTCCATATCTGTACATTCAAACAATACATGGAATTCTAGAGCCTCCATCACATCTCACGCACTTCCTCAATGGATGACGTTACCTTCATAGCTACGAGTTTGCTCTTTTAGCTCTTCATTTATTCATTTGTAAGCAAAATAGCCTATATTTCTGTTCAAAACATTTTGTTTTGTGTTTTCTGCAGCTGGATGGCGGAGCCGTCACACTGAGTATGGAGGAGATCAAGAGAGCTTATCCCAACATCAGATCTCTGGTGGGCAACTCTGTGTATGTCAAAGTGTCTGTGCTCACCAACACAGGTAACTACTTCATGTCTCTCAGAATCTAGGTGTAGGTCAGAATGTGGAAGTTTGACTAAAATGCACACAAATCTAACAGAAATCTGGGTGAGACATTTGAACAAACTGGGACTTGGCTTGTTGAGTTTGCTTTGTTCTTTGTAGCACAGCCTCGTAATACCAAACTCTCCAGTATGTCGTTACCAGAGCCTAGTTTGTCAGGATCTCTTGTGTCATTTGTGCAATTCTAAGGGGCAATTCCACGCCTCAGGTCAGCAGTGTATCAACATGCCCTTTAGCCCTCTGGGTAAACTGAAGTCACTTTGCCATGAGTCATACTTTTGGGAAATGTGGGGCATGTTGCTGCTGTTCTAGTAAAAAAGTTGTTTTAGATGTTAAAAGCAAAATACTTGAACAATGAAGAGTCCAGAATTAATCTCAAGTACAAACAATGCACACTTCACTGAAAGTGTAATTAATAAGTTTGGATACTTTCAGAAGTATTCATTTCCTTTACATTGTTGCAAAAATGGTATTAAAAGACTTTTGATTCTGTGTTTATGAAATGATTCTCGTTTTTGGTCACAGGTAGCTCTTAACTCCTGTTTCACTCTTGTTTTTGCAGGGAGTGATCTGGTTGAGGCTGAAAAGACTGGGATTAAAATCGTAGAGTCTCCCTATGTCATATTCTTCAAAGACATGCCAAAGTACTTCAAACCAGGCCTGCCTTTGGACTTCCAAGTAAGAGCCATCATCCGTGTTTTCAGTCTTTTGTAGTAATTGTCGATTTCTGAATAAAAATGTCAGTGAAATAAAATGTGTAAAATAGCAAAGAGGAATTCTGTCCATCCCGTCCAGATCCAAGTGAGCCACCACGATGGCTCCCCGGCCCGTAACGTCCTGGTCAAGCTGAACTTGCAGGAGACACCGTTGTTCGTCGCCTCCGGCACCGTCAGAGCCTCCATCAACATGCCCACTGATCAACATGCACAGACCATCTCTGTTAGTATGGCTGCATGCTGCTTTTACTCCAACAGAGCTTCTACCAATGGATGTGATGTAATATTTATTTTTAAGAACCAACATTGTGTTATTGTAGAGCTGAAATCATTGCAAATTATTTGAATTGTTTATGAACAGAAAGTTAGTTACAAACAGCTCTGATAACTGATAAACTGCTGAAATCAGCAAATTAGAATTATTTGAAGGTTATTATTAAAACGATGTTTTACTGAGATTTCTTTATTGTCATGTGTTTGTATTGTTATTTTCTGAGATAAATAGCTTTATGTTATTTATGCTGCTGGGGTATGGGACATCCAGTTTTGGGTTTATTCAGACAAAGCTGTTACAAACTTTAAATTATTTTGCATTTGCTGTGTTTTGCAGGTAGAGACCACACAGGCTGGCCTGAGACCAGAGCAGCAGGCCAAAAAACAGGTCACTGTTCATCCCTATGCCACCTTCGACTCAATTCAAAGAAACTACTTATACATCTCCACAGGAACCAACACAGTGTCTGTAGGAGAAGGACTGTCCCTGAAACTCAGCATCTCTGTTGCACAACAGACACAAAGAGAATTCGTGAAGCACATCACCTACCTAGTGAGACGAGAACACCACAGTACACCTGGAAATTAGGAGACACACTAAATTAAATGAAACACATTCTGAAGTAAATACTTTCTTTCTCTTCAAAACTCAGGTGCTCAATAAAGGCAAAATCATAACTGTTGAGCGTATAAATGTAACTGGCCAAGTGGTCACCAGCGTCCTACTGCCGGTAACACCAGAGATGATGCCATCATTTCGCTTTGTGGCATTCTACAACATTCCCTGGGCTGGACGTGAGGAGGTGGTGTCGGACTCCGTGTGGATAGATGTGGCGGATTCCTGTGTTGGAGGGGTGAGTGTTCAGCTCCATGTCAAAGGTGGCAGGCGGAGCCTACAGTGGTGGTTCCATATCTGAAAAAGTGACACTTTTGACTCACAACTCGAATAACTGACTTCGAATGGCCAATATTCTCCACTTTCCCTACAGTTAACAAATCTTATGAAAGGGCACAGACTACAGTCACAGTGTTGCACTGCGTGGGACATATATCCAGATGACGGATACTCAGTAGAGCACCAAAAGTGCACAAATCCACATCCAAAAATAGCCCTGTGTCGTTTCTGTGTAGATGAGACTGTATAATTAGGAGCTGTTTTTGAAATATAGAATAATGTCAGCCTTGTTCTTTAATTTTGGTTCTTCTCATTTTTATTGTTTGACTGTTTGAATTTTTTTTTGTATGTGGCTGATAGCAGTCAGAAGCAAGAAAGCTAACACAAACCAACAAGCAGCTTTAGTAGTTTGGTCAGTTGCTGTGTCGATGTATGTTTATTTCATTCTCTCTTAAAGCTCAAAGTGGGGCCGGTGGGCGGCATTCACAGAGACCACGTGCCTGGGAAGAGCTTTAGGTTTCAGATCAGAGGTGACCCGGGTGCAAATGTCAGCCTGGTGGCTGTGGACAACGCTGTGTATCTTCTCAACAAGGACAGACTCACACAGAGGAAGGTGTGTGTGTATTTATATCTGAACTTTTTATAATGCTTTGAAAAAGAAAAAGACAAGTGAGCTCAGGAAATGAGCAATAATATAAATGCTAGATAAAAAGGGTTTAGGTAATTACCTTAAGAGTTATTCATAAGAAAATCTCTGTATCTCATTTTTAATTCTTCAGTTTCCCACTTGTGACACATTTTGTTGGCACAACCCCAAAACCACAATAAGAATGAATCCTTTCTTTGCAAATATGTATAATAATCCTAAAAGTTAGTTTTTATTTCACATAATTTAATACACTTTGGAAAATGCTGTATTGTTACAAGACAGTGGGTTATTTTTTACTCTATACTAACAAGCATCATGTTAAAGCACTGTATGAAATCATGTCATCGCTTTTTTGCTCAGATCTGGGACGTGGTGGAGCACGGAGACATTGGCTGCACTCATGGGGGAGGCCGAGATGCCACAGCAGTGTTTTCAGATGCAGGACTGCTTTACGCCTCCAGTGCCGGGTTCCAAACTCAAACCAGACAGAGTATGTACGAGCATGGGGCAGCTATTTGTCCTGTCAGGAGCATTTCAGCCTCACACCGTAAAACAAAGAAACACATTTTCTCACTTGAGCAACTTCCTGAGCTGACACCACTGTACATGTTGTTAACATGCTGCGGTGAAGGCAGATATCCACTTGATTTAGCTTCTCCAGTCAGGCTGCTGAGCAAAACACAGACTAGTTCACAGGAATGCTTCATATGCTGTGACAGTTGTGAAGTTTAACAAACTTATTTAGTGTTACTGCTAACTGTAAAGCCAGTGTACTTGGATATACATATCCACACCGGTACAGAAAACAAAACAAAAAACTGTCATAAACGTAAAAAATTATAAATTAACTTGTATTAGAAAATAAATGTCTGCTCTTTGAGTCCCCCTTTCCTTTTGTTGCAGCTCAAGGCCATGTTTACACTGTGTGTTTGCTGAAAATGAGGCAATCCCAGAGTTACTTTGGGTGGATTTCTCCTAAAACCTCCAAATATGTTGACTTTTGTCTAATACTGAATACTGTATTATGTGTAATGAGCATATGCTTAACTAAGGTGTCGTAGGTGGTACCCACAGCTAAAAAGTCTGGAACTGAGCTGACACTTAATTTAAAGTGGCTTTCAACTTATATTCACAAGAGATTTACATTAAAAGTGGCCAAAAACCCATACAGTGTCAAAAAGGAATTCATCTTAAAGATTATTAAAATACTAGTAGTTTTGGACTGTTAGCTTGCTTTTAAAGCAATTTCTGAGCTGCTACAATATGTCTTAATTGTACACAAACAAAAGGGGGAGACATGGAAACAGAATGGGCACCACAGGAAGATAAAACTCGACTAAAGAGCTGTGACGAATCTGAAATTTTGCATCTTGTCCATTGTATCCTAAATATCCTTCCAAAGTAATACTATTTACCCAAATCTTTTTTAAACAACTATTTGCTGTTGCTCAGCTGTTTGACGAAAGCACGACTAGTGCAATGTTCCCTTGTATAAGGATGTTTTTTTTCCTCTCCTCTCCTCAGCCCTGCAGTGCCCAGGCAGTTCCAGGAGGAGGCGCTCTGCTGAGCTGCTGAAGCGTAAAGCTCAGCTGGGTGAGTGGCGTCTCATCATGAATGCTCTGTTCAGCTGAGAACAGGCGGGATGAGCAGTTCTGCGACCTGGCTGGTGATGAGCACTAACTGAGATCGGCCTGTATAACATTTTTGTGCACCATCTGCACATATTTTAGTGCTTGTCGTCTTTCTACCTTTTGGCTGACTCGTAATGCATTGCCTTAGAGAATAATTAATTCGATTAATTGCAAACTTAAGGGGAGAAGAACACCACAACAGACAGTTGCTGTTTTACGCACTAAGCAGATGTAGATATAGGTATGGATGTAGATATATAAATTCCCCTGTAGTGCCTAATATTAATTTGCATTTGGTCTGAAAGGATCTTCTCCATGTCTAGAAACAAATACTTGTCTTTTTTGCTGCTTAATGTCTCACTTTCTTCCCCTGCTAGTCACTAACTTTGTCTGGCATTTCAGTCTTATAGTAAATGTGCTAATAAAATAAAGACAAAGAAGCTAAACAGCTGCATGAAACTGGCACATTTGGTGGAAATTCTATCTAGGTTCAACACTAACAGCAGCCTATTTCACATTACACATTGGGCTTTTATTGACTGTTGATTTAAAAGTAATGGAGTACCACATTGCTGGTGCTGATGACTGGGCGCCTATCTCTTCTCCCTGTGCCTGCAGAGAGTCACTACAAGGAGAAGCTGCAGCGTCGCTGCTGTAAAGACGGCCTCAGGGAGATCCTGATGCCGTACTCCTGCACGCGACGCTCCCTCTACATCACTGAGGGCTGGGAGTGCATCCGCGCTTTTCGATACTGCTGCGCCACATACAGGGACCAGGTGTTTGACACTGAGATTCCCACCACCATGCCACCCACCACTGCAGCTCCCACCACTGCAGCTCCCACCACCTCCTCTCGACCCAGGACTTCGGATCCCTTTCTCACACACAGCAGAGTACATCTCTCCCGGCATAACTTTGGTAACTACAGTACCTCCGCTTTGTCAACTGTGCATCCAGTTGGACTTTAAGTTAGCTGGACATCTTGAAACCTTTGAACGCAATACTTTTAAATTTAGTAGTATATTTATAAGGTTCATCATGTTTTAGCGAGCAACATTTTAAGACTCAACACAGTAGCACAGTTGAGGCTAATGATAAGGTTTTACCGTAAACCAAAGTATTGGCTGAATTAAAAATGGCAAGATTTTTTTTTACTTGAAACAACAGTCGCCAATGAGTTTTTGGAACCCTGTTGGAGTGTGAGACATTGAGTCAAGGGGCAAAATAATTCACATTCCTACCAGTGGTGAAGGCAGGGGACACCCTGGACAGGTCGCCAGTCTATCACAGGGCTACACTTAGAGACAGACAACCAAGCACACTCACATTCACACCTACGGACAATTTAGAATCACCAATTAACCTCAACATGTTTTTGAACTGTGGGAGGAAGCCGGAGAACCTGGAGAGAACCCACGCTGAATGGGGAGAACATGCAAACTCCATTCAGAAAGATCCCGGGGATCTTCTAGCTGTGAGTCGACGGTGCTAAACACCGAGCCACCTTGCAGCCCACACATAATCAATCATTTCAAAAATTATCCTTCTGAATGTATCAAGAAGGACGAGGCACACCCAAGACATTTGTTGGACCGCAGGGCTACACCTACACATAGGGAGTTTTATTGAGAAAAAAAAAGCAACTTAAACATAACTTTCATTTCCTTATATTTTATATTTACCTGCTAATCATGTGTGAATGTATTCAAATAGATTGGGGACGTAGATCTGGACCACCTGGACCACCTGGACTGCCTGGATTCTCTGGAATGCCTGGACTGCCTGGATCGGCTGGACTGCCTGGACTGCCTGGACCACCTGGACAAGAACGGCCAATCTATACAAGTGCAAACAAAATGGGAGAAGAAGACAGTCTTTTGGGAGTGGTGAGAGAGGCAGTGGAGGAAGAAGAGGAGGACGAGTGGGAGTACCTGGATGAGACTGAAGTGTATCTGCGTTCCAAGTTCTATGAGTCTTGGCTGTGGATGGATGTTTACTTGCCCAGCCAGGCAGACAGAGACGGGTGAGTAAAAGATTACAGCAGAAGTTACACCCTTAGCTTACTTTGGATGCAGCTTCACTGTTTAACAGTTTGAAAAGCTATTAAAGCTTCAAAAGGTTTTTTACTTGTTGACCTGCTCTTATGGCGTTTTTTTACATACTGGGTATTCTGTGCATTCTAGAGTAAGCATTGGTGTAGTGTTAGGACGTGTCTATGCCATTTGAAGCTTTAACTTGTTAAACTTAGATATACACAGAGGAGGGGTTTAAGGGATAAATAAATGGCCAGAGAGGGAGTTTAACACTTTTGTCATATTCAGTTGACATAATATAAGCTAGTTTGTTTCGAACATCGTGCCACCTTAAGAGTTTCTGTCCTTATCATTGAACATGCGACTCCTACTGGTTGCCCTACTGCACAGGGAGATGGAAATAGATGGAGATCCTAAGTCTGTCAGTAGAAGGCAGCTGGACTTCTCTTTGGTTCTTTTATCTCTCATTTAAGAGGCTTCCTCGGCTCTAACTGACTGTTTGGGAGTCCCAGGAATGTATTCACAACCCCAGATAAACACATGGTTAATGGTCCATTGATGATAGACCAGTATAACATAGACAGCTTCCTTCAAACTGGAACAGTCATCTCCAAATAGAAGAGGTGGTCTACGATACCACGTATCACATACTTTTAGCAGCATATTTAGATTACTCCCCGGAAAGTTTCACCACCGTTAGCACCTTCTCAGTCATCCAGGTCATGGTAATCCCAAGAGGTTCAGTAAAAAGTAACTGGACTTTAAGTTTCTTGAAGCCGATTCATCTCGCATGCAAAACGCTTCTTCAGTTTTGATTCTGAGGCTCCAGAACTGAAGAGGCCTCTTGGATGCGAGGTGAAACATTTTCTACAATCAAATTGATGTCTAATTGTCTTCTACTGAAGCGCTTCAGGTGAGCATGTTCTGGATGACTGAGAATCTAACCAGATAACTAAAGGAGCATTAGCAGAGACGAGGACTGCAGTGCAACCTGAACTCTGTCCTTAAAACGGGAAAAAATACAGAAATTCCAGGATAGTGCAGAGACAAAGTAAACCCAAGGTTAGCACATCTCAGAATGCAAGCAATCCATGTAGAAATATTTCTCCTAAATGTACACATTGAGAGTGCGTTTCCACCTGCATATGAATCACGTTAGGTTGAAATGATAAATTATCACAATGTAAAGGCAAAGAAAGGAACGCTTTACAATAAACACACACTAAAATTGTTGAACTACTGTTCTTTCTGGTGGTTAGTAAAGCAAAGTAGTGCCAAGTGTATTATCTTGTATTAAACAATGTCAACAGAGTACATAAGAAACTAGCAAATAGGCCACTACAACACAACGTCTTACTTCAAAGTAGTGAAAGACCCGAGTCAGTAAGGTACACAGCAAATATGTGCTTGGGCATTACATAAGTAAACCTGAAAATATCCAAAACATTTTTTAATGTTGTTTTGTCATAAACTCACCTGAAAAATAAATTTTATACCGAGAAAAAAACAAAACAAGACAAGTTAAGTTAAAACAAGCATGACAGGACTGTTTGCTTTGGATTTGGAAAAGGGAAAATAATAAATCCTACAAACAAGATGTTAGAGAAGAGAAGTGAGTGAAAATCGTGAGAAGATCAGAATTAAAGTTCATTGCTTTTGTGGGAGGGGGTTTACGCTTTACTGGCGATATATGAATCTGTTTGTTCGACACCACTAGTCATTTTCATAGATGGAACAATGCAGTAAACAAGCTGTTCCTTACACATGATGCAGAGAACTATTGGTTCAACAACTCTCCAATGGTTTTTCCAAATCCAGTCACTAAGTACACTGATGTGTAATAACGGACAGAACATTTCATTATGTGACTTGCATCATGTTGTTTGGTCAGTGACACTCACTGAGCAAACGGCTCTAAAAACAGAGAACACCAATATGACAGTGATCTGTGTACATTCATGTGTGCACATGTATGTGTCATGTTTAGCACTAATGCAAACTCCTGTACTGTGTGCGTGCTGCTTCCTTTATTGCATTGTGACACGCATCTGCTGCAAAGATGTCATTATTGTTTATAAATAAATAAATAGCAGATTCCACTTTCATTTAATGAAACTAATGTTGCAGTCATTTAAAATAAGCTCTGGTTTTATCCTTGGACCTAATTGGTTTCGATAACAACAGTATGAATTTGATTTAACAGGTTGGCGTCTATGATTGTGGATAACGCTTTGCCTGACAGCATCACAGAGTGGGGAGTTCTGGCAGTCAGTTCATCCCCTCAAACAGGTAGGAGGTGGAGGACGGTGGGCAAGGCTACTAAGGCTAATGCTGAGAATGTTCCAGCAATATTATGTAGGCAATATACAAACCATTTTAAATTTGTTTTTTTAAAACTTTTTATCTATGTTGATGGTACACATTTCTGAAAGAACTGCAGTGTCTTTCATGAACCACCAACAACTGTTGATTCAAACCAGAAATGACTTGAACTGTTATCGAAGGACTATTTTATTATTATTTTATTTCTACGAGTATATTCCTGTACATGCAGGAGACCCGTCACTGATCACCTCCTGAACATCTGTAGGTTTCTGCGTTGCTGAGCCTTACAATGTCAGAGCTTGGAAGCGTTTCTTTGTGGATCTGAAGCTGCCATATTCAGTGGCGAGGCACGAACAGGTCGTGATCAAAGCTGTGGTCCATAACTACGGCTATGACGACCTGCATGTAAGAAAATCACCTTTTTATGTCCTTAACCTTAAATGGTAAATAATGGATTTCTCCAGCGTTTCTGCCGTTGCTTACCGCTTCATGACTGGTTTGTGTTCAGGTAAGGGTGGTACTGATGAAGACAGAGGGCATGTGCAGTGTTGCTTTCAAGGACAGACACACACAGGAAGTGACTGTGAGGGCTGGTTCTTCAGTGGCGGTGCCTTACACTATTGTACCATTGGTGGTGGGGAAACTTCCTCTGGAAGTAATGGTGGTTGCCAGAGACATGTTGGGAGGAGACCGCATCCAGAAGTTGTTGCGGGTGGTGGTGAGTCACTGTTGATGATGAAGAGGTGGATGTTGATGACAGCAGCAAAGCCTGCAATACACAAAATTATGTTTCCTTACTTGAATAGTACAATAATTTTATGTCTTTGTATTTTTAAGTTTGTTTTTATAATAACTTCTTTCTTGACCGAAACAGCTGGATGGAGTGCAGAAGACTGAAGTTTGGAGTGCTGTGTTGAACCCATCTGCTCAGGGAGGTAAGAAGATTGGAGTGATTATTGATTTTTTATTATGTCTTATCAACCACTTGTCAACTTGCCAAATTTATAAGATTTCATACCTTCAGTCTCTCTCACTCAGCTTGAGTTGATTCAGTGCGTTTCCAAAAATGGGATTCTGCAGTCTGTCTCTCCTGTCATTATGAGTCACAAACCATGTCTTCATCTATTTACTGACATTCTAACCAGGAGTAGTGTGTGGTGACGTTTTAATACTTTAATGTTAGCAAACTTTCACAAAGTACAAACTTTGTGTCAAGCAAGAGTCCTCCTGACCTGAAATAAAACTTTCTAGTCCACTTCAGTTTGGTGTCTGACTTGAATTGCTACAGGTTTTAGGTCTACATAAAGCCTTGTTGGCCCTGTCAAGATCTTAGAATCTTTTAACATCAGCGACAGAGGATGCACCTTTAAGAAAGTAAACAGAGGTACAAAAAACTGAAAAGAAAAAAAAAACAAAAACATAAATGTGTTGTCACAATGTTTCCATTCACTGCAGGAACACAGACAGTTCTTATGGGCAAGCAGGAACTGGAGTCAGTTGTGCCAAACTCTTCACCAGAGACATTCATCAATATCAGAGGTTGGTCACTGACAGAGATTTGAACAGGAAAAAATAAATGAAAGTTAGAAAATAGATTGATTCCTGATTTCTCTTGTCCATTTCTCTCCAGGCAATGTGTTGGCAGACAGCATTGATAACTCGATCAGTGAGGACTCTCTGGCGTCTCTGATCCGGATGCCCGGTGGCTGTGTGGAGCAGAACTTGGCCTCCATCACTCTGCCGCTCATTGCCACCCTGTACCTGGACCGAAGCAACAGCTGGGAGAGCGTGGGAGTGCAGCGCAAGGCTGAGGCTATCCGATACATCACGAGAGGTGAAACAGAGAAAGAACACATGAATAAGTGGATTTATTACTAGTTAAACAGGATATCTACAATGAAATGAACCGAACATACGAGGTAAACTGGATGGGCACAAATAATTATATTCATTTTCTGGTGTATGTGGAATAAAGGATGGATGAACTGTTGGGTACAGAGTCAGCTACATAGCTACTATATGTACGCTACAGGGACGATGGATGGATGTCTAGCTGTTGCCTGGTTGAATTCATGGATGAATGATGAATGGACTACTGATATGTGGAGGGATGGATGGATGCACAGGTGACTAAATGGCTACCTAATTGATGGATGGACCCATGAATGAATGGACGTGCACATCAGTGTATTGGTTGACAGGGAGAAATACCTCAATACATACATGGATGGATGGATGGACAGATGACGATCAGGATATTTGATAGATGAACTATAGTGTGGTTCGTAGTTAGATGGCTTCTTAGCTAACTGGATGATGAACAGATAGATGATTTTGGGACAAGTTATGTTTTGGGGCAAGTCAAACTATCTCACTCCTCACATCTTCTCTTTGAATTCTTTTGTGTTGTTTTCAGGCTATGAGAACCAGCTGGCATACAGAAGGAGTGATGGCTCTTACCCGCCCTACAGAGGCGAAGGAGCAAGTACATGGTACTATCTAAACCTTTACATTTCTAGTAAAATCTCTAAAACCCACGTGCTGATTTCAGAAGAATCTAGTGGAACAGGCTTCAAGTGTTTCAGTTTCAGTGGTGACACTGAATTTCTTTTTTAATAACCTGAGAAATGGGTTTATCCAACAATGTGGATTTTAACAAAACAAACACAAGGTACTCTGGACAAAAAAAAGAGTTTGCTTTAAATATATCCATGCATAAAATGAGCTACGATGGAAAAGTAGTTTAAACCATTATTTCGTTAATTTTTGATAAACGGTGTTGTTAGATCACAGGGGAGTGACCAAGTGTTTGCTAATCTGAGGCTACCTCAATGTCAGGATCACAGCGTACGTGGTGAAGGTGTTCTCCATGGCGTACTCCATCATCGGCCTTGACAAGCAGCAAGTGTGTGACCCTCTGCTCTACCTGGTGAAGCACAAAATGCGGCTTGGAAAGCGAATCTACGTGGAAGACAACCCTGTTTACGACACGACTATGACTGTGAGACACTTACAGGCACACACAAACTCGTAATACACCATGTTTCTCTGGTAACAACGTATTAGTTTTTCACCCTGGTCCTTGTCTCATTTTCATTGCAAACTATTGAAATTATTATTATCAAAACCCCTGTAGGGGGCTATAAATCGTATGTTAAATGGTAAAACGGAAACAGCTGTGATATCTGAGACCATTTTGTTGTTTTGTGCTTCATACTTTTGCATGTGACATCCACATATTTTCAGCATAGCTTAGGATATTATAGGGCCTTTTAACAATCTAAAAGTCTCTGATTTATCATCAGTTCATGGTAATAACAGTAAACTGCCACACAGGAGAGGAATATGTCATTCTGTCTCAAAACACCAGGAGAAAAAAAAAAAGGAGCAGTTTGTTGTTTGTTATTTCACCAGAATAAATAAAGACTAATCTAAAGTTTACAAAATGTGAAAGTAAAGTAAGCATTCATTTCAAAGATAAGAAATAAGAAGTAACAAGATCACAATATTTTTAAAGTGACACACTGGTTATATCTTTTGATTGAAGACGGCTCTGGGGCCTTTTTATATGGAGTTTTCATGTTGTCTTTGTATTCTGGGTTTCTTCAGGTGCTGCAGCTTTCTCCTACTGTGCAAAGTCATGCAGGTTATGATAAGTGGCCTCTCTAAATCTCTGAACGCAATATGAATGTGAACATAAATTGTTGTCTGTTTGCTATATGACTGACTGGCGACCTGTGCAGTGAGCACACAACTCTCATCTGTTGTCTGCTGAGACAGGCTCCAGCCGGCCCTGCAACCAAGGATTATTAATAATAATAATTGATCAGATTTATATAGTGCTTTTCTAGACACTCAAAGTCGCTTTACACCATCAATTATTTATTCATATACATTCATTCTGGTGGTGGTAGCTACGATTGTATCCACAGCTGCCCTGGGGCAGACTGACAGAGGCGTGGCTGCCATTCTGCCCCTCCGACCACCACATCAAACAATCCATTCATACCAGGCAAGGTGGGTGAAGTGGCACAATGACCGTGAAACAGGTTACAGGGCGGAATCGAACCGCCGACCTTCCGATCATCGACCAACTCGCTCTACCACCTGAGCCACAGCCGCCGATTAGATTAGAGAACCAAGATACAACATCAACATCAAAACTAAACTTCTTTCAAAAATTCAATTATTCATTTAAAGGCTGAATAAGGAAATTCAATGATCAAGTAAAAGAATAAGAAATGTATGTTTTTTTTGTCTTGTTTTTTTTTTTTTTTTTTTTTTTT